GTGTTATGTGTCTGAGGTTGGATCTGAACTGAAGTCCTCCTGACTCCACAGCCTGTGCTTTATCCACTGTACCATCCAGCTGTCTCTGGGAGTTCTCATTTTGTGCTTCTACTCATGAAGTGACTGTAGAGTCTTTCAATTTCTACTTTGCTCTCTAGTTCTAAGGTATCTAAGCAACTTTCTGTTACCATTTCTTGAAATATGATGCTTAGACAACTCCAAAAGACTTATGATAGAAAATTATGTCCATATTCAGAAAAAGAACTATGGAGTCTGAATGCAGATCAAAGCATATTATTTGCTTTCTTTTTTTGTTTTGTTTTGTTTCTACTTTCTTATGGTTTCTCCCATTGGTTCTAATCCTTTTTACAATGTGACTAATGTGAAAATAGGTTTAATATGAATGTATATATAGAGCCTACATCAAAGTACATACCATCTTGGGGTAGAGGAGAGGGGAATGATGGGGAGAAAAATTGGAACTCAAAATCTTATGGAAGTAATAAATCAAATTTAAAAAAAAGAAATATGATGCTTAGGCTTTCATGTTCATGCTTTTCAATTAATCTAAAGATTTCAAAATTATCCTTACTCTGTTGTTTAGATAGTTGTTTATCCCTTGAAATATTTTACATTTTCTTCTATTATTTATAGTCTTTTGACTTTTTATTTTTAAAAAGAAATTAGTTTTGATGTCTCATGGAGTCATTAGCTTTGGCCAATTCTAACTTTCAGAGGATTTTTTGTTTTTTGGGGGTTTTTTTGGTATAAAGTTTTGTATCTCTTTTTCAAGGCTGTTAATTCTCTTTTCATATTTTTCTTGCCTACCTCTTGTCTCTTTGCCTACCTTTTGTCTATTTGGTTTTAAAATCACTTTTTCAGCTCATTTTAAACTTTTGAGAGGGCAAGCAATGACATCAATTGTACCTATGAAAGAATGCAAAACATATTTCCATATTAGCCATATTGTGGGAGAAAAAAAAAAGTGAAAAAAATTATGCTTCAATTTGCACTTGGAGTTCATCAGTTCTCTCTCTAGAAGAAGACAGTATTTTTCATCATGATCCTTCGGAATTGTCTTGGATCATTATCTTGATCAGAGTAATTGAGTCTTATTGGGAGGGCATCTAATTTATCCCCATTACAGATAATGCTTTGGTTGCATCTCATAAATTTTGGTATACTGTCTCATTGTTGTCATTCTCTTTAATTAAATTATTGATTGTTTCTATGATTTGTTTATGACCTTCTCATTCTTAAGGATTAGATTATTTAGTTTCCAATTAATTTTTAATTTGTAGTTCTATGGTCTTCTATTGAATGCAATTTTTATTACATTAGGGTCTGAAAAGGATTCATTTAATGTTTTTGCGCTTTGGGGCATTTGGTTGTGAGGTTTTTATGTCCTAATACATGGTCAGTTTTTGTGAAGGTGCTATGTACAGCTGAGAAAAAGGTATACTCCTTTCTATTCTCATTCAGTTTTTTTCAAGAGATCTATCATATCTCACATTTCTAAAATTTTATTCACCTCCTTAGCTTTTTCTTATTTTATTGTTAGACTTATCTAGCTCCGAGAGGAGAAAGTTGAGTTCTCCTACTAGTATAGTTTTACTGTCTGTTTTCCTCCTGTAAATCATTTAACTTGTCCTTGATGAATACAGATGCTCTGCAATTTGGTGTATATATGCCTAGTATTGATATTGTTTCATTGTCTATGGTACCTTCTAGCAAAATGTAGTTTCCCCGATTAACTCTTTTAATTGGGTTTATTTTTGGTTTTTCTTTGTCTGAGATCATGATTGCCTATTTCTGCCTTTTTTTTTTCTTCAACTGAAGCATAACAGATTTTGCTTCAGCCCCTTATTTTTATTTGCTATGTGTCTTTCTGTTTCAAGTTTGTTTCTGGTAAATAACATATTGCTGGATTTTGGTTTCTTTTCTGCTACCTGCTTATGTTTTATGAATGAGATCATCTCATTCACAGTTGTGATGACTAACTGTATTTCCCTCTAGCCTATTTTCTTCTGTTTATTCTTCCCTCTTTTTGTTTTGTCCTGTCCTCAAAAGTCTGTTTTGCTTCTGACCACTGCTTCCCTTAATCCACCTTTTCTATAATCACCCTCCCCTACCCTTTCTTTTATCCCTTTCTCCTCCTACTTCCTTGTTGGGTAAGATATATTTCAATACCAAACTGAGTGAGTGTGAGTGTGTGTGTGTATATTCTTTCATCTTTGAACCAATTCTGATAAGAGCAAGTTTTAAGCATTGCTTGCTTCCATATTTTCCTTTTTATGCTTTTAACAATTCAATGTTTTATGCAGTTTTTTAGCTTTCAATTTTGTTAATCTCTGGTTTTCTGAATTTTGGTGTTTAATCTTGCTTTTTTCAAGGTGTTAGTGCTATACATTTTTCAGTAACATGCTCAATTCATTAATCCATTCTCTTTTTCTCTTTAGTTGATTATAGTGTTTTAAATTTTTTAAAAATTCCTTTAGTGCTGTTTTGTCATCATTTAGGAAAATTCGATATGTTGTCTCATTGTTGCCATTATGTTTAGTGAAATTATTTATTTTTTCTGCTTTTGTTCTTTTAGTTTTTTTTCCCCTTGATTTTTGTTCTTTATTCTTAATATTTAAGATTGAGTTAGATATCAATGATTTTTAATCCTTTCTTCAGTGGCTCCTTATCTTTATTGAATATAATTTTTATTGCCTTGTCATAATGCATGGTCAGTTTTTATAAATAATAATTATAAAAACTGTAAAATGGTTTATATATAAATTCACTTGCAACTGAAAAATATGTATACTCTTTTCTATTCCCATTCAGTTGCTACTGTGCCTCTTGAGTTCAGCTGAAGAATATTTTGCTCCAGCCTATTATTTTAATTCTAAACACATAGTTATACTGAATATATCTTTATATTTTAAATGTGTTTCCTGTAACAAACATATTTTGTTGGATTCCTTTTTCTAATCTATTCTGCTATCCTATTTTATAGGTGGATTCATCCCATTCACAATTCATTAACTGTGTGTTTCTGTCTATCCTATTTAAAAAAAAAACTTTTCTCTGTCATTGTTCCTTGCTCTCTCTTTACAAAGAAAAGAAGGATAGTAAGAAAGAAGGAGTGTTTTCATCACCAGTGTTCTATGTTTGCTGCAACTGACTTCTGTTCCCCTACTTGAGGAGATGAGGGAGTTGGGAAATGAGGACCCCAACAATTGTTTCAGGAATTTTGGGATAGGTGGATTCAGCTCTCTCTGTATCTTAGGAGCAGCTGGGAACAGGAAGTAATGGGTCTGGTATTTCAAAAGATATGAACAGAAGGAGCTTTTTTAGAGAATGGATGGGAAAGAAGTTAGGAAAATTATTGTTTTTTAATTCTCCACCTCTTTCATCTTTTTCTCTTAAAAACACCCAGAGCTAGGTTAAAAAAATTATGGAAAAGATGATGGATGGAGCAATATCATCTCATAAAACAGAGAGAAATAATGCAGGATAAAAGTCAGTTTAAAGAAAATTTGGCAAGAGATCTAAGGAAAGACATCCTAGGAGCACCCAAAGATGAAAATGGAAAGAGGTCTACAAACAGAAGGAAAATGAAAAGTTCTTATGAAAAAAAATTTTTCTTTTTACAAACTCTTCTCTTCATAAAAAATGATAGAACCACTGCACTTGGACCATAAAATCACAGACCCAAATGTCCTTATAGAGGAGGTAGAAATGGCACAAAAGACAACAAAAACCAAGAATATAGACAGGAGGTATGCTGGAGGTCATACAACAGTGAGAATATTGAGGGACCAATATATAACGTATTTAAAGATGGGGAAAACGCAAATACTGAAAAAGGTAAACAAGAGAATATCAGTAATTATCAATTTATATACAGGTCAACCGGATATGTACTGAGGGCATCCTGGATAGAGCATCAGTAGGGAGCAAGTAAACCTTAACAAGTCATAGTTGTGGGCAGGTAGGTGGTACAATGGATAGAGCTACAGCCTTGGAGTCAGGAGGACCTGAGTTCAGATCCGGTCTCAGACTTGATACTGACTAGCTGTGTGACCTTGGGCAAGTCACTTAACCCCAACTGCCTCACCAAAAAACAAAACAAAACAAAAAAACAACCCACAAGTCATAGTCAACAATGGACCACATTTTTACTATTTCATAATTAACTGAAAGCTGTAGAGAATCCTACTGTGCTTGTTTGCTGATTAAAAAAAAAAGTAGAATAAGTCTCTTTTACAACTGAGTGTATCTTATCTATATACCAACAACATCTGAAATTTCTTGAACAATAACAGAAATAACCCTGTTCAACGACCCTCTGAAAATAAACATTAAACAGTGAGATGTATGCTGGTCAAAGATATTTGCCAATTCAATGGAAACAACCCAGTACAGAGTCTAAATTGGACAGAGATTAATTTTGAATAGTGAGGTCTTCCAGATAATCCTATTTACAATCACTGGAAAAATGTCTGGCCTGTCCATACACAGAAAAAAGACCAAATGAAAGAATATCTACTACTCAAATTTTAACATGTATTTAGATATATGTCCTCTAATTTAGATGTATACCTTATTTATACTTAGGTATAGCTGGTATATTTCCTGGCCATCTCCTTACCATCTTGCCCACAAATCAGCCATAATCTTCATCTCACTCCCATCACTGGAGACCCAGACACTTCACCTGGGTTAAGGGGCTTTGATAGGTGAGTATTTGCCTTAACTTTTCCAGAACTAGGTTGCCAACTAGGGGGAGAAGAATGGTAGAGGTGCGCCTAAAGTTTGCCATATCAAGTACTTGGTTATGAAAAAAAATGGGTTTAGTGTACATTAATTTGTGAGAAAGTTAGCTCTCTCATGTTTTATTACCATCAAAACATCAGGTAATCTATTCTGATCACCTTCGGCACCTGAATGAAAAGTTTCCATTCAAGGTAATACAAGCACAAGAGTTTAAGTAGAAAATTATATATTACCTGGCACCGTTTGCAGCTATACTTGTGAGGCTCTGAGTCTGCACTTTCATCAGAGTTGTCATTTTCTTCTGATGAAATACCAATTTTACCAATGAATTCTTCCCTCTGGTGGTCATCCATTAATGCAATGTCCTGGAAAATAAAGAACCAGTTTATTGTTACCAGTAGAAGGAGGCTAGTTTTCAAAATCTTTAATCTTCATGCAGCCGGCATTAATGCTACACAGATGCCAAAATGGTCCATGGATAGATTTCATGGGGTTCTACAAACTTGTATCAGAAAAAAAAAATTACATGTTTATTTGCAATAACTGCTAATTGAAATTTAGCATTTCCTTTAATTATAAATGTAGGTAACAAACATTATTCTAAGCAGTCTATAGGCTTCAAGAGAGTTCCAAAGAAGTCTATGATACCAAAAGGTTAAGAATCCCTGGCTAGAGTAGCCAGGAAGGATTAGAGAGGGCCACATAGAAAAGTAGATATAAATGACAGAGAAAAGTAGATATAAATGACAGAGAAATGTTATCTGTCACAGAATCATAAAATACTAGGGAGAATATGGAAAACATCTTAGATGTCATGGAATCCAACTCTTATTTTACAAAGTAGAGAAATGAGGCCCCATGAGGTTAAGCCATTTGACCAAAGTCAAAGACTAAGAATCCCTAGACTAGATAACCCTGGAGGGCCTTCTTGCTCTATGATTCTAATTATCATACTTTTTGAAAATTTTCTCTCGAAATGAATCTTTAAAATTTGACCTGGAAAACCAGAGTCTTAACTTGTGCTTAAAAATAAAAATTCTTTCAGCTATCCAATAAAATTTTAGTAGCTTAGATTTGAAAATTGGTGACAGAGAAAGTACTTAGGACAAGTTCACTGAAGCCACTGTAAAATGAAATTATCAGGATAGGGAACAGAATAGTCTTTGGTTCATAGTCTTTGAACTTTTTTTTTGGGGGGGGGAAGAGACAACTAGAGTTAAGTGACAGCTAGTAAGTATCTAAGGCCGGATTTCACTCCTGAGCTAGTGTTCTATCCACTGAGCCACCTAGCTGCCCCACTGAACTCAAATCTTTAAGGATCAGGGCTCACTGGATGAATAAAATGCTATCATCTTCAGTTTCCTAATGTTCTTGATTCTTCTTAGTTTTGATTATAGTCTAAGTTTTTCTATCCAAAAGCACAACCCAATTTTCTACAGAACTCAATACAAGAAGCATGGGAAACTTAGAAGGGTATAATTTTAATTAGACAAGCAAATAATTCTAATGAGAAGAAAAAAAGAGCTATTTAGAGAAAACAATGTGGATTCACAAAAAACTAAAAACAGCTTATTTTAAACGATATGTATGGAAGATAGAAGCAAGAACAGATAAACGAGTATGATCACAAAAGAATAATGTGGCACTCTAAGAAAGAGAAAATGGACTGTAATGCTCAAAATAAACTCTAGTTCAACCACTGGTGTTTTTTCCAACTGGGCTCCAGAGCAGCCTCCACCTCCACCTCCACCTCCACCTCCACCTCCTTGTTATAGATCTCTCTTTCTGACCTCCTACATTGGCTTGGGCTGAAAGAATTTCTCACCCTCACCTTTTCTTGGCTCTACCACTCCAGAATTAGATTTGAGGTGTTAGTTTTAAATTGTTCAGAAGGGAATATTGGGAAAGCTCAGCTGAGTATTCATCTACTCCATCTTGGTTCCCTGTGAAGAAGTCTCTTCTTGGTCCATTTTCAAATACCTGCTTCATGGATCTTTTGGAAAAATATTTCAAATGCTTCCCTTTTAATGTCCATTTATTTTCTTTGAAGAGTAGGATCAGATTTGCAGAAGTGTTATTTGTGAGTACCAACCATGCTTTTTTAAGTATTACATTATTAGAATGTAACCACTGAAAGTCTGTGCTAGTCTGCAACTGTTTCAAAAAAGTTAATAAACTATGTATATCCTTTGACCCAGCAATACGACTACTAGACCCAAAGAAATTAAAGAAGAAAACCCATACATACAAAATATTTATAATAGCTCTTTTTATAGTGGAAATAAATTTGAAACTTAGGGAGTGTCCATCATTTGGGGAAAGGGGTAACGGAATCCTGTTGTGCTATAAAAAAGAGAAAATTTCAGAGAAATTTAGGAAGATATGTATGAACAGAGATTATATGGGATAGATCCCAGAAGGGATAGGGAAGATAGATATACTGCAAAATGTGGATGATATAATAAAGATATTTTTTAAAACAATATTAATCTAAACAAGGCTGATAATTATTTCAGAATGCTACCATCAGGCAATAATCCCCATATCCAGCAACAAAAAAGGCATGGAAAATAGTGTGAACTAATACCTTAAAATGAACATGAATATGATCCCTAAGCACATCTACCCGGAAGAATTTGCGTCCACATATCTCACAAGTATACTTCTTATCTCCATGGGTCAAGAGATGTTTATTCATATTACTTCTACATGAAAATACCTATGAGTAGAAAAAAAATGACAATTAAGAAAACTTTTCTGTTCCCATGACTTGAGAAATACAACTTAATGTCTGTTTATACAAAATAACCATCTACAAAATCTCAACAAATATTGTGATAACATCAGTTGCTCAATTTGGCATTGATTTTAATCTTTACTATAACAAGTTAATGACCTTACTATACACAGACAGCTGGTACTCCCCTTTAATCCACCCAAGCTAGCAGTAGTTTTGACTTCTTTAATTTAATTGCGACCCCTCTACAAATTTGTAGATTGTCTGTCTACCTTGGGAAGAGAGATATTTCTCTGGGCTTTCAACATAAGAGAAAAATGAGGAATGGAAATTTTACAGAGAAATATGTGTTGAATAAGAGAAATGTAAAGTAAATAAGCTGATGTTTTACCAAACACCTAGAAAACTGTCAAAGATGACAAAAGATAAGACTAATATCCATTGGTGGGACTGCCAGAAGACAGGCATAGACACACTGATACACCACGGGTAGAATTAATTGGTCCAACACCATGACAACAATTTGGAACTATGCTTTAAAAAGAAAGAAATAAAAATAACTAAAAGGCCCATACTCTTTGAAACCAACATCCTGATGCTAGGCATATACTCCGTAAATTAAAAGACAGGAAAAAAAGGTCTCATACACCAAATTATTGATAGCAGCAATTTTAGTAGTAGTAAGGAACTGGGAACAAAGTAGATGCTCATCAACTGGGGAATGGCTAAAAAACTAGCAACAAATGAATGAAATGGAACATTGTAAGAAATAAAATAAGAAAGAGACAGATGGGAAGACATTCATGAACTGATATGGAGTGAAATAATCACAAACAAGAAGATGATTGAAAAAATGACTAAAGTAATATGAATGGAAAGAACAACAAAAAAACCTGAAACAGAATGCTGTTTTCATAACAATCAAGATTGACCCTGTAGAAGACTTGAGAAAATAAATCTTGCTCCCTACATTGTAGAGGTAGAGAACTATGGAAATAGAATATTGCATATTCTGTCAAACAAGGTTGAAATATTGGTTAGTTTTGAAAATTTCTTTTTCCACTTGTTTCTTTTAAAATCTTTGTGACAAGGGATGATTTACTAGGTAAGGGGAAATGAAGCTGTATATTTGGGAACGGTGATTTAAAAACAAAAGTGTCCAATAAAATAATCAAGAAAAACATCTTTTTTATTGATATGTATGCATGTGTGTGTGTGGGGGGGGAGGCTGATGTACTCTTTACATGAAATAACAGCAGTCAACCAATCACCTCCTGAAACTCTAAGATGAAAACTCACAGGAACATTACAGTCAAAACCTAGGGCTTCCAGGTCAAAGGAAAAATACTGCAAATATCCAGAAAGAAGTCAAACACTAAGGAACCACAGTAAGTATAATACAAGATTTGGCAGCTTTCTTTATAAAGGAGCCGAGAACATGGAATATTATATTCCAAAAGGCAAAAGATAAAAGGTTACAGCCAAGATGAACTCACCAAAAAGACTGAGTATAATTGTACAGGGGAAAAAAAATACACCTTTAATGAAATGGAGGATTTCTGAACATTCTTGATAAAAAGAACAGAGCTGATTAGAAACGTGTTTACAAACACAGGAATAAAGAGAAAGATAAAAATTACAGGTAAGCAAAAAGGAAAATGTAAGGATGAAATGTTTCCATTTTAATGGGGAATGATACTAGCATCTTTTAAAAAGTGTGATGTCGTCATAAAGTCAAATAAAATAGAAGGCCTGTGAGTGATTTTTGTTATGTTTTGATGATCTTAAAAGAAAGGAATAGGAAGGGAATAAAAAGGATACACTAGGAATGAAAGGGGAGGGAGACATATAATTAGTCGGGTATAAGTGAATTTCTATACAAACAAGTAAGGGGAGGCTGGCTACCACTTGAACTTCAGTTTCATTTGAACTGATCAAAAGAGAGTGTAACATGCAAATACACACAAACACATAAAGAGATTATTGTAGAAATGCATTAAGCTCAACAGGGAGGGGAGGGAATAAAAGAGAAAGGAGATTAAGGGAAGGATCAGTCATAAGTAAAAAAAGAAAAAAACTCAATTTCATAGGGGAGGATCATGAAGAGGGGTGAAAAGGGAAGAAAAAAGGAAGGAAGAGACAAAGGTACAAAACTGTTATTTGGGTCTGAAGAAGTGAAAGCTGTTTAAGTCAAGCACAGACAGTGGCTCCCACTTGGTGGTTCACAACCCCAAAGAGTTCATGCTAAAAATTAATTAACAGGGATTAATTCTTTAACATTTGTATTATATAATTGCAAAATATAATGAATAACATATTAAATTACCACAGGGGCTTTTTTTTTCTTTTTGGTGAGGCAATCAGGATTAAGTGACCTATCCAGGGTCACACAGCTAATAAGTATCAAGTGTCTGAGGCCATATTTGAACTCAGGTCCTCTTAACTCCAAGGTCGGAGCTCTATCCACTGCACCACCTCACTGCCCCCCCACAGGAGCTTCACAGCACAATTTGTTGTCCTTTTTAAAAGGGATTTGGAGGAACGAAAAATGTTGGGAATAACTACTATAGAGCATTGTTGATGGGCAACATTTGTGTTCTATACTTTTCATCTATGCAAAAAGGGTTTGAGGAGAGAAAAAAATAAGAGAATAAGAGGGAGTTAAATGCATAAAACTTAAAATTTTTTACACAAATTTAAATCAGCTAAGTTTAGAAGGGAAGCAGTGAACTAGGGAAAAAATCTTCATAACAAGATTCTCTGATGAAGATCTCATTTACATGCCACTATGGAATTGGTTCAAATAGATAAGAATAACGGAGGTTTTCCAATTAATAGTCAAAAGACATGAGGCAGTTCTCAAGGGAGTAATCTAAGTTTTTTATAATCACATGAAAAAATATTCCAAATTTCACTATTAGTTAGAAAAATGCAAATTAAAGCAACACTGAGTTTCTAACTCATACACATCAGATTGGCAAAGTTGTCAAAAAGAGAAAATGATAGGTTGTGGGAAAACCAGTATCATTCTCACATCTACCTACCCTGGCCCTAACCTCTCCCTGACAGCCAAGCTTGAATCTCTGACTGCCTTTCAGTCATCTCAGACTGGATGTTCAGTGGATATCTTAAACTCAACATATCCAAAACTGAACTCATTATCTTTTCCTTCCAAATCTTTTCCCCTCCCAAGTTTCCTATTACTGTTAAGGCAACATCATCCCTGCCCTTCCCCTAATCTCGTTATCACCCTAGCTTGCAATGCAGGTGTCACTACCTCTCACGTCCATATCAAATTTTGCCAAGCTCTGTAGATTTCACCTTTGCAATATCTCAACTGTGTACTCTTCTCACCTCTGATACTGCCGTCACTGTGTGCAAGCCCTTGTCACCTCACACTTGGCCAACTGCAAGAGCCTTCTGGTTGTTCTGCTTGCCTCAAGTCTTTCCCCACTCCGATCCATCCTCCATTTAGCAGCCAAAGTGATTTTCCTAAAGTGCACTTCCAACCATGTCACCCATCTATGTCATGAACTCCAGTGGATCTTTATCACCTCCAAGATCAAATATTTTTGTATTTGTTGTTCAGCATTCAGCACCCTTCATAACCAGCCTCCTCCTACCTTGCCAGTCTTTTTATACTTTATCTCCTGACATGTACTCTTGATTCAGTGACACTGGCCTCTGGGCTGTTCTACAAACAAGATACTCCATCTCTTGGCTCTGGGCATTTTCTCTGGTTGTCCCCAGTGCCAGAATGGTTTCCTTTCTCATTGTTACCTATTGACTTCTTTGTTTTTTTCAAGTCCCAACTAAAATCCCATTTTCTACAGGAAGCCTTTCCCAATCCTTCTTAATTCTAGGGTCTTTCCTCTTTTACTTCCTATTTTTATAGCTTGTTGGAATGTATCTGTTCACTTGTCTCCCCATTATATTGTGAGCACATTGAAGGTACAGATTATCTTTTGCTTCTTTTTTGTATCCTCAGCACTTAACACAGTATCTGGCATGTAGCAATTGCTTAATACATGTTTGCTGATTGACTGACTAAAAGGTATATTAATGTACTTTTGGTACATGAATTTAATGGAATACCATCTGGTTATAAGAAATTAAGAAATGGTTTCAGAGTAACCTGGAATGATGTATGTAGACTAAGACAGACTGAAGCAAGGCCAACCAGTAAAATTATTTATATTATAACATCAACATTTAAAAATGAACAATTTTGGGACTTAAGAACTAATTAATTTAATGATCAATCATGATTCCAGAGGAATATCAATGCTATTCACCTCCTGACAGATGCACTATAATATGCAAAATGAGACACATTTTTAGACATGGCCAACATTGGAATGCGTTTGCTTATATGTTGTAAGGTTGTTTTTTGTTTGTTTGTTTTATTGCTTTTTAAATTAATTCAGAGGAAAGTTGTTGGGGGAAAAATCCATTTCATAATTTTTTTAAAAATTAAAAAATCTAACTTTGAAATGTTAAAAGTGATCAAACCGAGGGAAAGATGACAATATAAGGCTTGTCTCCCACAAAATACACCTACCACATCCCTCTAAATTCTCTAATTCCATTGCTTCTCCCTTTGCTGTATAAGCCTTTTCCCTTTGGAGCTGCACCTCATGGCTGTTATAATCTACATTAATGGTTACCCACAGCAGCTACACAGATGTTAGTGGAAGGAGTTTCTATCTACTCCCTGCCTCCCAGATCATCTTGTGGCTATGGCAGGTACTCCATGAAAGGTAGGCTCTGCTAGAGACAGAGTGAGCATGGAACAACAGTTCTACTCCCCATTTTTCATTTTGCATAAAATCTTCCACTTTGTGAAATCAATTTGGATGAGATGACTGCAGTAATTAGTCACAAAAAATAAGCAGGTATAGATGGTTTGTTTCTGGATCATAGGTATCATTATATCACCTTTCCCCCAAAGCTTACCTATCTTCCTAACTTCTCTATGATCA